TTTACTGACCCATCTAAAGCTTCTGGAATCACATATGAATGGCTGAAGTACATAAACTGTGACAACTTGGCGTTGGTATTTCCAGGGAACGAAAATATCGGTTATAGAGCAGAACTAAGGGAAAAAATTAGACTTTGGAAGCACAATAACGTAATATATTTATTTATAAAGTTGTAACTACTATAATCTGTTTAAATATTAACGATTTTCTTTTTAGTTTCCAGAAGAATATGTTTCGACTCTAAATATGAATCTCTTGACTCGCCAGCTACCAATTCCACTTCGTCTGAAGTCACGGTAACGGTTGACATGACACGGTTTACATGTCACGGTAACGTATTGGAATGATTAATAGCAGCTCATTTGATATAAATTATTTAATTAAGTTAGACTATTTAATAAAATCCCATAATGAAAAGTATTTGGAATTGTTTCACAAACCCCTTAAACCTAAATTTAACTTTTTAAATCATTATGTGCGTGTCATAAAACAATCAGTCCCTCTTAAATACTTATGGAGTTTTCGATTCGAATCTAAGCACAAGGAAGCAAAAATGTATGCAAGAAGTATTACTTCCAGAAAAAATATAACCTATAGTCTAAGCATGAAAGCATCTTTAAAGTTTACAATATTTATAAGGGTCCATAATGATGGGTTTCCTAACCAAACGCAATATGAACAAACTGAGCATTTTCGGATTAAAGATTGTAGGTATTTTAACAATATCGTGAATTTACGAGATTTTGAATCTTTGTTCGCAAATAATTTAAAAGTTAAATCAGTAAACTTTAAGGGAACGACGTATAAAAAGGGCCACTTTTTAACAGTAACTACTGACGAAGTCATTGAACTATATGAAATAAAAGAAATACTTATAAGTTTAAATAAGGGGGCTTACTTTCTAGCCCACAAATATGAAATTATTGGTTTCTTAGAGCACTATCAATCGTACAAAGTTGGTTGTATAAACAATTTTATTGATTAAAAAATGTTGAGTTTTTCACAAGCCCACCTATTAATTTGTACTACATTTACGAAGGAACTCCTGTTATAAGAAATAAGAATTTTTAGTACCTGTTTATTCATATTAAAAATATGTAAATATGTGCCTATTTATTTAACAAAAAATTAATAAATTTATTGAAAATAATTTCAATTTTATGAGATTTTCATTTGAAATCATAATTATTTAAATGTACTTTTAACGTTACCTTCACGTAAGTATCATTTGAAATTAACATTTTTTAAATGTAGTTTTAACGTTACTGTCACGTAATATCATTTCAAATTAACAATTTTTGAATGTAGTTTTAACGTTACTGTCACGTAAGTATTACATAAATATCATGTTAATTATACATGAGTATCATATCAATAATACATGATAGCCATGTTAATTTTACGTGTTTCATGTACATAAATTTCACGTAAAAATGATAGTATCGAAATGTTAAAATTAACATTTTTTCATTTCAGTTGCAAATTGTAAACAAAAAATGATAACTTTACGGCGGTTTTTAGTATTTTTTTGGTTCAGTGTAGAAAGTAAGCCCCCTTATTTAAACTTATAAGTATTTATTTTATTTCATATAGTTCAATGACTTCGTCAGTAGTTATTGTTAAAAAGTGGCCCTTTTTATACGTCGTTCCCTTAAAGTTTACTGATTTAACTTTTAAATTATTTGCGAACAAAGATTCAAAATCTCGAAAATTCACGATATTGTTAAAATACCTACAATCTTTAATCCGAAAATGCTCAGTTTGTTCATATTGCGTTTGGTTAGGAAACCCATCATTATGGACCCTTATAAATATTGTAAACTTTAAAGATGCTTTCATGCTTAGACTATAGGTTATATTTTTTCTGGAAGTAATACTTCTTGCATACATTTTTGCTTCCTTGTGCTTAGATTCGAATCGAAAAGTCCATAAGTATTTAAGAGGGCCTGATTGTTTTATGACACGCACATAATGATTTAAAAAGTGAAATTTAGGTTTAAGGGGCTTGTGAAACAATTCCAAATACTTTTCATTATGGGATTTTATTAAAGAGTCTAACTTAATTAAATATTTATATCAAATGAGCTGCTATTAATAATTCCAATACGTTACCGTTACATGTAAACCGTGTCATGTCAACCGTTACCGTGACTTCAGACGAAGTGGAATTGGTAGCTGGCGAGTCAAGAGATTGAGTTTCAATCCAATTTTTGATATGTGAGTTCATACTTAGAGTCGAAACATATTCTTCTGGAAACTAAAAAGAAAATCGTTAATATTTAAACAGATTATAGTAGTTACAACTTTATAAATAAATATATTACGTTATTGTGCTTCCAAAGCCTAATTTTTTTCCTTAGTTCTGCTCTATAACCGATATTTTCGTTCCCTGGAAATACCAACGCCAAGTTGTCACAGTTTATGTACTTCAGCCATTCATATGTGATTCCAGGAGCTTTAGATGGGTCAGTAAAAACATTATCCATTATGAAAGATTTTTATTAAAAAATAAAACAATTACCATAAAACTTGTCGTAGGCGGCTTCTATATTCATCTCTTTTAATAAGTCTTTTAATCGCTGATCTCCTCCTGATTGAGTTTGGACAATCTAGGAAAACTACATCATAGTATTATGATCAGTCAATGTTGTTGCAGCTTTAAGTTATACATACGTGTAAAAAACATGTCTATTATAGAAAATCATTTCTTACCTGTTCTAAATTTCCACTTAATATTGCATACTGAGCAGATTTCGTTATGATTTCTCCATTTCCACCAACTTCTACAGGCGTTGCTTCCAGAACGATATGCTGTCCTGCGTCATTCATAGTCAGCGAAACATTTTCGCCAAATAATAAAGAATTATCACTCATTTTCACAATCTCTATTAACTTTCTGAGTTGTTTTTTATTAAATATTCTCAAAGTTTGCACTTTAAAACGACTAAAAACAATTTCAATGCGATTTTCAATAGATCTAGCGTTTTTTATTCTATGCATGCGCGAAAATGAGTTTCAACTGCTGTTGTCATTTTAATATGAGAATAATATAAAAATGCGGATTTAACAGTTTTCATATCAATTTGACGTGAAACCTATTGTTTTGATCATTTTCAATGTTAATATGACATTTTTCTGTCATTAACATGTGAAATTGATATGACAATGTAATAAATGCCAATGTTGATTTAACAGTTTTCATATCAATTTCACGTGAAACCTATTGTTTTGATCATTTTCAATGTTAATATGACATTTTTTGGCGGTATGTAAAATTGATAAAGCAGAAATGTTAAATTTACATGAGACTTTTCTCTGCTGTAATATTAACATGAGAAATCGATATGACAACGTAATACATGCCAATGTTGATTTAACAGTTTTCATACCAATTAAACGTGAAACCTGTTGTTTTGATCATTTTCAATGTTAATATGACAATATTTGGCGAAATGTAAAATTGATAATACAGAAATGTTAGTTTTACTTGAGACTTTTCTTTCGGTGTATGCATGTACATATGTCGCCCCATGTTTGTTCTAATGCATTTTGCGTAGGCGGCGTGCTAATTCGTTTGCGCGCCTGATCGCACCACCTTGCTTTTGCCCGCAGTGTTGGGCCCTGTGCCTTTGTTTTCGTGCTGGTGCATATAGGTATGCATGTATATACATATGCCGACGGTATCTTGTTCACTCCACTTTGCCGTTGCCTGGATTGCTGATGCTGTGCCTTTGTTTGTGCGTTGGTGTGTATGTACGTTTGTATGTATGTCGCTGTTGTGTTTGGTGGGTTTTTATGCGTTCATTTCCACGCATGTTTGTTTACGCAGCTGGCTCACGCAGCTTTGCCGTTGCCTGTATTGCATATGCTGTGTGGATTTGCATCTAAATGGTTAGGTACAGTGACCAAGAGTTGGAAAAAAAAATTTATGCCATTAGCTTTTTTTTTTATTTTTATTTATTTTTTTTTGTTTATTTTTTTTTTGTTTTTTTTTTCGCTTGCAAATTGTTCGTAACATTTTTTTCCCTCCGTTTTTTTCTTTGAAAGTTATATTTTCTTAAAAAGTTTCACTTTATAATATTTTCAAATATTCTTAAATTTCTTTTTTGTTACAAATTTTCCTCATAAAAATTTTCCTCAATATATATATATTTCTTTAAATCAAAAGTTTATAAAAATTTCTTAAAATTAACATTTTTCTTCAAAACTTCATTTCACAACTACAACTACAACAATCCGTACCATTTTTTCCCTAAAGAGCTTTTAGCATTTGCTTCATAAAATTTTCTTCAAAATTTTTATTTTGGTTTTGTTTTTTAGAAACAAAAATTCCTAAGACTTAAAAAAATTTTTCCCTTCTTTTCAAATCATTTGTTTTCTCCTTATTTTCCGCGTTTCTCTTGAATTTCCTTCCTTCATCTCGGTGCCTTCTTTTCGGTGCTTCGTATTTTCGCTGGCGGGGTTGTTTGCTGCTTCCGGGAGGTTCGTCTCCCCTCTCGAGAAAAGCCTTTACTTCGCTTATGTGGGCTGTCCTCGCTATATTTCGGGGCCAACTTTGCCGCAAAGTTTTCTACTGCCTTCGATTGAGGGTGCTCTCTGAGTAGCACCAGATCGCCTATAGCTGGTCTCCATTGCCTCCTCCGTAGGTTATAGTGCCGTGCTTGTTCCGCTGATGCCCGCTGTTGGTTTTGGCGCACCAGACTGAATACTTCCTTTAGTGTTGTGGCCTTCTCGTTTGGCGTCGTCGAGTTCTGCCCTGTGCCGAACGTGGTCTCATCGTAGACTGCCCTTGGGAGTCTCGGCTCGCGTCCTTGTGTCAGGAATGCCGGACTGTCGACGGTGGATTCGCAGATGCTAGTATTCAGTTCTA